GGGCACTACCATAAAAGGAGATGGGGGTCAGGGTGTCAGCACCCTTGGCCACTGTACTAGTGTATTTCCATTGAGGGGGTGTTTACTGTAGGGGGGAGGAGACCAGAGGTTATAACTGTAACTGTTGTGTGGAGTTCTTTAGATCAGCCTTTAGCATAGGACTGCATAGGAATGCAGTGTGCTGATCTCCAGATGCATCTGTAAGAATAATGGGTAATAAAAGGATTGTGTAAAACATGGAAACATCTCAGCGTGATCTCTACCAGGACCAAAAGAATCGCAGAGACCGGCGTTTGTCTCGACAGGAGGTATAGCCCCCCTGAGAGGGGCCAACATGTGAGAGTTTGTGGATGTTCTTTGTCTGTGTGTTTGTATATAAGATGTAAGGACGGTGGCCACAGAGATGGTCCTGGTGTTTCACTGGGATGCTCTCTCCACATTGCAATGTGTTTATTAAACCCACTTCAAATCAAGCTCACTGGGTGTGTTGCAGACTATATAGTTAGTGTAGTTGTTGTTTTGTGTGTCAGTTCTACCACTAAGTGTCACAGTTGCTGCAAAAAAGCCACCAACAGCAGGTTGAAGTGTAAACGCTGTGGGAAAACAGGAGGAGTGATAAACCTCCTGTTTTCCCACAAAACAGTACAACCAAGGACTCAGAAGCACAATATAAAATACAACAAGTTAAAATGCTGGGTCACAAAGACCCGTGACAGACTTACCTTTAACTGCCCAAGACTGCGTCTGAATCTTACCTTTGGACCAACTTCAGGGATTAACTCAGTGATGTCATTTTCAGTAAGACAGAAAAGGTTTTCCTCTGTTACTTTGTTAGCTGTGATTAAATATTACATCTCAGTTATGGAGAGGTACAAAATTTAAAATTGCTACAGCAAAATCATATCAACAGTTTCTCTTTCAGAGTTTACTTATTCCATTAATATTAAGATCTTTGTTTATCAAGCATTAGTAATAATAATTTACCTTCAAATTGTTCCTCCAACTCATTTAGTCGCCATTCAAGCAGTTTGCTTCTTACAAAATCATCCAAGAAATGAAACTGGAAGATAAACTGTAATATTTAACCAGACTAGATCTTTGTAATCAGCTTCTCCTTAAACACATGTGTATCCCATTATGTCACTTATTTATGTGCAAATGTTTAATAATGAAGAACATTAAAACATTCCTGTTGGCCACATGTCGGCAAAGTTATCTGACATTAGTGATGTTTGTACTAACTTAGTTTTAAAGTTTTCACGGTGCCATATTGCTGGTGGTTTAAAGAGGAGAGAATAAAGTTGCATCAGTCGAAGCTCTCTGCGTTATGAGTGGTAATTCCAAGTGGGCAGCTGCAGTGAAAACTCCTTGACTGCAAGAGACCTGCCATCCCTGCAGAGAACCTGACACCATTTCATCAGAGATCCAGCTACCAACCTGTTACCAGCCAGCTGATTCTGCTCGCATCCACAAAGTGCACTTGCAAGGTTAGACAGAACAGCACACTAAAGCTCAGGACTCCAGATACTGAAAGAGACATTGACTACCAAGAAGAAACACGGGACTGCTTACACACATGTGAAAGCTTAATGCATAACTAGAAACCCTTTAAATATAATTACGAGGCCAAAATAATTCATGGAATTCCAACAAAATTCCAACAAAATATTCCTGAATCTGGTTGAATCTGGTGAAGCAAAGCACGACGCTGTAAGTTCACAGTATGAACCTATCCTGCGTAACAGTAACACCACACCTGACATTGTCAACAAAATGGACGCCTGTGTTATGCTAACAAAGGAGGTATGTAACCTCATAAGTGACCGTCTAAAGACTGTTCATCAGGAATATAATAACCACCTTGAGAAAGAAAGAGTAAGAGAAGTGTTAAGCAAGAATGAATATGGGTCTGTTTTTGACAACAACATAACGGAAACTGCAAGCTCTATAGAGTTGTCAGAGCAATTGAGCCATCACTCTGGCTCATCCTGTACCCGCAGCAGTAGATGCAGAAGCAGGGCTTTCTGCCAAGCTGGAGCAATCAAAAGCTATGGAAGAAATTCGAGCACAGCAAGCACATCTTCACTTAGAAAGTGAATGGAAACTCAAAGAGGCAAAAATGTTGTCAGAAATTAAACTAAAAGGTTTGGAGTCTTCCCACACCCCCGTTCTCTGCAACCTGCTGGAGCGGGGGGCCAGGAGGAGGAGTTGGCCGTCTGACTGGGGTCTGGAATGTGGGGCCTCCCTGCTGCTGCGGAGTCGGGGCGGTCTGCTTCTCCCCACCGCAGGGAAAAGGGCAACACCACCTGGGCCTGAGTGCTGTTTAAGGTGTTTAAGAAAAGGTCATATTACCAAAGATTGCAAAAGGCGAACCACATGCAACATTTGTGAGCATCGTCATCCAACCTGCTTGCACGAAAACAGGAAGCAAAACCCTGCAGAAGCAGTAACAAATAGCTCTGCTCCCACGGAAGAACCTGCAAGCCAGGAAACACACAAGGTCATGTCTCATACATCAACACAACACGTTTCGGCCACCTCAAGTATTGGGTTACAAAACACACAAAACAATTGGACATAATACAAAAGTCAATAAAGACAAACACATAATTAGGACAAAACAATAAAAGGAGGATTTGGAGGACATAAAACAATTGGATATAACACAAAAAGTCACAGAGGAGGACATAACAAGGACAAAAGAATGTGGGACAGGATAGTTACAAGAAAGGAACAAAATCACAAAGTCACGAAAAAACCAAAGGAAAGGACAAATAGGAAGGGGGTGCCATAAATATAAAAACTAAAGACAAATTCTACTCAAAAAACTAAGAACGAAAATGCAAAGAACTGATTTGACATTTTAAAACTAAATTCAAAATAACAAACCTGACGTGTAGAAGTGGGAGGGTATAAATAGAAGGGGAAGGCACTCTCTGCTCATTCCACTCCAAACCACCGGACAGAGCAGATCGCTGAGAGCAAGCCTGTTTTTTCCTTTTGCTGTGTGTGCCTAGGCCTGAAGAAGACCTTCACAGGTCGAAACGTCGCCTCACGGGCACACTAATTAATATTCATTTGGCCTTTTTGTGATTTTATTTAATTTTTCTTTAAAATCTAAAAGTTTTTTTTCAAAACCACTTGATTTTTTTCTTTTAATTCTTTAAAAACTTATTAAAAATTTGAGTTACAAATTTGAAATTCTAAGTTAAAATTTTCATTTCATTTCCAATTTAATTTCATTTGGTAGAAAAACCAAATTAAAAAACTCCATCCAACTTATTATGGTTGGATGGACTTCTGACTAGACCCTGGTGCGCCATGGCAGACGCCGTGGACAATCCAGGGTCCAGACACCTTACTGAGGGATGGCCCGTGCACCGCCCGCCTCCAATTGGAGGAGGGGCCCAAACACTCATCCTAACCCTAACCCAGATACAGAAACCTCAAAGATCCTCGATCCAATCCCAGAGCCTTCCTGTTACCGATCGCATGTAAATCAACCCAAAAGTGCGCCACTGAATCATTTTTTTCTCTTTTGTTTTGTAAACCGAAGTTACGTCTGTGTTTGTAAGTTCTAAAACGAGTCTGCAACTTTTGATGCACAGTCGGGATTAAAATCCTGCATCCTTTGAAAGCACAAAGCCTCACAGCTCAAATGATTCAAACCGTATCATACTCTGGCCTTACCTAAACTTTGGCTGTTTAATATCTCCACACTTTTAAAATTGTACGCATTTGACAGGAAATGAGGAAAAAATAATGGATCCAACTTTAACTTAGATATTATTTGTAAGAAAAGATGCCTGCTGTGGTTCTGGCCCAGGAGCTTCTTACTGTGAGTTTGAAGTTCATTGACACCTATAAGAACATGTTATTCTAAACCAACTTTATCCAACAGGAAGAAGCATCAGAGGAACAGGAAACATTCAAACATGTTTACTGTAAGAACTGCACAAAGGAAGGAAAACACAATCCTACACACGACCACTTTAAAATGGACATTTAGCTTTTCACTGGAGCAGCTGGAGTCCTACAGACACTCTTCACTACACAAACACCTCCTACAACATCCACTCTTTACACTCTGACTACTGTGTTTGTGGAAACACTCCAACACACACCGCTTCACATATGAACATGTGTGTGAGCTGACATTAAACATGATGGAGGATTGATTTACAAACACACAACAACATTTACACACACATTACCTCTGCAGGATGACACACGCCTGATTTAATGATTTTAATTTACTGCTGTTTCTGTACAAAGTAACACTTTGTTTCTATTCCTAGTTGGTTACTTTGTTTGTTGGATTTCAGTCGGTTTCTGCTTTAATTCATGTTAGAATCAAATGTTTTGACATGTTTCACTTCCTGTTTGCTGAAGTGGATTTTCAGCTGTTTCCAAGCCAAAGGCTTGTTTTAAAGAGACAGTTTAAATGGGATTGTTTCTATCCAACAACATCAAGCAGTTAAAGAGTTCATGTTACTAACAGCTCAGCGCTCTGCAGCAGACACAGGCTGGACTTTAAAATGAATGGGAGCATCTGCAGACTGGGTCCAGCAGGTCTTCCACAGATCCTGTTAGAAAAATGTGCTTTTCATTTGCTGCAGCCATAGAAGCTGATGAAGATTTCAAATATCTCCATCATCCCAAAGAAAAATTGGTTTGCAGGCTGAGCATGAGGAGAAGGAAACTCCAGACTAGTCCAGTCATTTACAGTGTGCAGGAATATTGATGGTCCTACTGGGAGCAGCACCAGTTTAAATGTTCCACATATTTTATAGGATAAAGGAATTCCTCTGGGTCAGTGGAAGAGAAGGCTGCAGATGAAGCTGCTTACAGCTCAGATACCAAACACATGGACTCAATCATTAGATAGATTTAGATTATATTAGGTGAAACTTTATTTATCCCTCGGGTGGGTTCCTCCGGGAGATTCAGTTTCCAC